TGCTGCATGTGGCACCCGGATGTGCACACATCCATGCCTCTGCCCAGGTGCAGAGTGCATAAATCCCACCGAGGCCTCCTGTGCCTGTTCACCCACCCAAGCAGCATCAGGAGCTGGAGCCTTGTAGCAGCCCTCCCCCTTGCCGGTGGTGCTGGGAACCACCCACCCACCCAGGGGTGCTCAGCCCTGCGCCGCAGCACGGGGTGCAGACGGAAAACGTACCGCAGGAAGGGGTCCCCAGCTGGGCGCAGCAGCCCCAAGCCAGCCCCTGGCTCTCTCCTGACAGTCCCTCCAGGGGTGGGCACTGGAGAGCCACAGGGGGACGTGTTTTGCCTGGGGGAATCTGGGGGGGTTTCAGCCAACCTGCACTTCTTGGGGTGCTCATCCCGTTTGTTGTTGAACTCCAGAGAGATCTTTGCATCCAGGCCGATGCCAAAATAGTTATTCATGACACATTTCTCTGAGAAGTGGCTGAAAGCAACAGACAGAGCAGGTGGGTTGGGAGGCAGCTGCACAAAAGTAACGGCTGGGCTGACACCAACGGATGGGGTATAAAACCCACGGGAGCTGTAGTGTGAGCTCCCAGAAGGGATGGCACTGGGAAGCCTGACCCAAGCCAGCAGGGATGGCTGGAGCCCCCTGGGTCCACACGGTGGAATGCCCATGGCATAGCCAGGAGCTGTTGGCACTGGGCAGAGGGGCAGCCCTGAGCTGCCATCACGAATACGGTGCTGGCCACGGGGCTGCCAGCAGAGATCCTGCACCAGCCACACATGGACACCGCCAGGCCAGGGAGGGCTGGGCACCCGGGATGCCACACGGGTGGGCAGAGCATGCCCCAGCAGCCATCTCCAAGAGATAGCGTGGTCCCAGCTCTGCCCCCACTCTGTGATGGGCAGCAATGATGGGCCAGGGTCCCGTGGGTGGGCAGGAACCCAGACTCACAGGGCGCTGGGATCTTCGGGGAACTGCAAGCTGCCAAAGGTGTCTGGCCGGTCCAGGATGATGGAGGAAGACATGGTCACTGTCTCCTGCTGGGAGGCTGGCCAGGGAAAGACAAGGCAGCTGCTGAACTGGCTCTTACCCTCAGCCCATCCCACGGCTTACCCCATGCCTCCCTGCTATCCTTCCTCCCCTCCCTGCTTCCACAATCACACCTCCCTCAAAAAAACCAAAGAAAAGCCAGATGCCCCTTTGGCATCTTACTGAGCTTCTCCTCCTTGTTGAGCTGCTCCAAACTGTCCTTCCTGCTGGGGCCCATGCTGCCCTGGTAGGCTTGGGTCTGCTTGTTCTGCTCATCTACAGCTGGACACAAAGAGGGATATGACAGCGAGTCAGGGCACCCCTATGACCCCTCCCTGGGTCAGCCTCGTGGACTCGACCACGCTGGCACCTCTGCTCTGCACTGGGAGCCTCCCTCAGCCACACCAAGCATCAGAGAAGGGCTGATTGGAGCAGCACTGCTGCCACCCCAGGGATTCCATGGGGGAAACCAAGGCACGAGCCCAGCAGTGCCAGGCTGCTGCAGTGCCATGCAAGATGCCACCCCCTGCCACCTCCTCACCTTTCTCCGCCTGCTCAATGATTTGTCTCAGGGCTTTCTTCAGGCTGTTTGCCCGCAGCATGAGCTGCTCCTTGGATTTGAAGATGCGAGGCACAGGGCTGGGGTTGAAGCTGCCACCTTTCTCCTGGTCCTCGGTGTTGGCAGGGGTGGCCTGTGCCATTCCCTGAGGGACCACGATGGCCTGAGCCTCCTCGTTCAGCTCCCGCACCAGCGAGTCTAGCTTCTCGTTCAGCATGGCACACTGTGGGACACCCACCACGCTCAGCACCCTGGTGCAAGCCACAGCACCCCACCAGTGCTGGGTGCTTCCTTGGACACCCTGTGCTTGCCTGGGCATCCCAAGCACAAGGACACCTCATCTTTGCCAAGACAAGGCCTGCCTGGGGACCCTGAGTGCCTGGGCACCCCATGGTTCCCTGAGCACTCTGAGTGCCAGGGAATCCCATGTGCCTAGACACTCCATGCTTGCCTGGGCACCCCGAGTGTGGGGGCACCTCAGAGCACCTGGGCACCCCAACCAGCACACACCTAGCTACACGCACAGCAAGGGCACGGGCCACCAGAACAGACCCCACCAGCCCCTCTGCTGCCTCGGGTTGTGCCACCCAGCATGCCCCAGCCCTCCAGCTCCCCTGCCACCCACCTTCCGTGCCATCAGCTCAGCCTCTTGCTTGTTCTCCGTCGCCCGCCTGTAAGCCCGGCCGACTTCGGCCACAAAGTCATTGACAGTGCCACAGAGGAACCTGCCGAGGGAAGCAGCAGGTGGGTGGAGAGGGGCACAGCACGTGCAGCTGGGCACAGGTGCCAGGCGGGGAGACTGGTGGGGTAACAGCCCCTTGTGCTAGAGCAGCTGTGTCATGGTTAACTACCAGGCACCAGCACAGCCAGTGGCCAGAGAGGGGACAGCCTGGCTGGGGCGGCTCAGCGCCCCTGGGGACGTGTCCCCAGCCTGGCAGGCAGGTCTGGCACCCCCACTGCCAGCCCCTTCCTTACTTTGCAGAGGAGATCACCACCGAGTGCTTGTCTGACTCCAGTATCTTGGCCAGGTGGAAGGCAACAGAGTCAGCATAGTGGGAGATCTGGGCCTGGGAGGGGACAAGGAGGACAGCTGGAGCTGTGACACCCTGCCGAGTGCCCTCCTCCAGGATGGAGCCTTGCCCAGCCAGCCCTGGAGCAGGGATGAACATCCCTCCTTGACCTGTTCTGCCAGGCCCTTGGGTGGCCATGCCCATGCTGCCAGGCGGAGAGATGCTCAGCCACAGCAGGAAGAAAACTGAGGCAGGGGATTGAGAGGGAGCACACGGAAGTGTCCAAAATAGCCATCCCCACCTCACCCTGCCGCCTGCTCCCAAGTGTACGTGCCAGCCTGAGACCTGCCAGACTCATGTCATTGCACACGGTCGGCTGCCAGCCCCCTCGCTGCCTGGGCCCCCTGGCACAACCTCTCCCTGTGCAACTCCACCCTGTGTGCTCCCAAACTGGCTGATGGGGTGAACCTGCTGCCCAGCCTACCCTCCCCCATCTCAAGCTCTCAGTCCCAGACGGTGCCCACCTGGATGTTGGAGTCCCCGTTCTCCTCCTCCTTCAGAGCTGGTGGGGACTGCTTGGGGGCCTCGTAGGTCAGCACACTCCACCTGCCAAGCAGAGACCACGGCTGCCTGCCACCTCCTGGCGCCCCAGCACAGGGACACGTGACCAAGGGACAATGACGGGCTGCCTGAGAGGTGCTGAGGCGAGGGAGGCAGAGAGGTGCATGCCCCATGCCATGCTCACCGGTCCAGCATCTTGGTGGTGGCCCTTTCCAGCTTCTCCAGGATCTGCAGCAGCTGGGTGTCATCATCACACAGGCTGCCCCAGCCCAGCACCCGTGCCAGGTCATTTCCAGTCCCCAGGGGCAGGACGCCCAACTGGCACTGCAGGAGAGGGAGGGGGCAGGGAGCTCAAGAGCAGTCCCCAAGGGCTCCCACGACACCCCAACCCTGCCATGCCCATCGCCTGCAGCACCCCGGGGCATGCCGGGTGGCTCCCAGCTGCAGAGGGCAGTGGCACTGAGGACAGTGCCAGCCCATGCCAGCAATGCCAGGCTCTCCCACTCACTTGCTTGTGGAGGCCAAGGGCATCGATCTCCGAGAGCACCCAGCCCACGCTGCCGTCCCCCCCGCAGACCAGGATCCGGAAGGTGGAGAACTTCTGGAAGAGGCGCAGCCTGGGGCAGGGACAGGAGAGAGGGGCTGGGGGCTGTGCCAGGTACCTGCTGGGACCCCGCCAGGGCCACCTTGGGGCACCTAGGCCAGCACTTACCCCAGGTGCGGGCCCCCATTCATGAGGTCAAAGACTTGGGCTGGGTTGAGGAACTGCTTGAACTTGCGCAGAAACTTGACACCCTGGTTGTCCCCACTCTTGGAGTTGACAAAGGCCAGGAGAGGGCTGGAGCAGGTTGAGGGGCAGGTGGCCTTCCAGAAACCTGTGCAATGCCCAAGCACATGAGCCCCCAGCTTTGTCTCCCACCCCCTTAGGACACCGATGGAGACGCCTCAGGAGCGCAGAGCCTGCGTGGACATTCTGGCTGTGCTGGGCCTGACCTGCAGGGTGCTGGGCCCAGGAAGAAGAGACAGTGATCAGGGTGCCCAGGGGGTGGCGAGGTGTGGGAGTAAGAGTAAGAGATGGCAGTGGGGATGAGGTGGGACAGGGATGGGAGTAGGAATGGGCATGGTTAGCACTAGGGCAGATCCAGCTTAGGTTCCCGGTCCGAGACTGTCTCTGCAGGCTCGTGTCCCTGGCCTGCCACTCCAAAAGGGGCAGCAGTGGTCAGTTCCTCACTGTGACAACAGCCCAGCTGAGACCGACTCAGTAAAAGCACCTGGGAACAGGGCACTCCCACCTGGGGGTGCTCCCAGGGCAGCACTGGCAGCCAGAGCATGACCACCTCTGGCTGTCACCCCCAGCTCTGCCACCCACTCCTACCAGGGCTCTGGTGAGGCCAGTGCAAACGATGCAGAAGGCTCAGGAGGCTTGGCAGCCAGCAACGTGCTTTTAAAGAAATTAGTTGGGGAACGAAATGTGCCCGAGGCAGAGGAGCATCGATCGCTGGCCCGCAGCCCACAGCCGCCTCAGGCACAG